ATCTTCCGAAGAAAAATGTTCACTTAGTTAATAACCGTCTTTGTCCGATGGACCCTGCTGGTTATATTACCCCCGTACAGAGGAGATGGATGTCGAGCTTACGACTCCAACTGACCTCCCTGTAAATTTAGATCAGGAGCGAGAGCTTCTCAAATCTCCAACTCCTGATCCAATAACTGAACCTAAAAACGAGTTTGGTGGTGCAGCCAAGAAACGACTGAGTCGTCTCCTCAAAAGCGGGGTACCTTATGAAACCGCCTTACACCAAATTCTTGAGCGGCGTACGCAGAATCTGTCTTAAGTAGAGGAACAAACCCCCCGTTTGCGCAGAAGTGATGATTCACCAAAACCAGAGGCGAAAAAGCCCTGAAGCTGCACGTGCAAAAACCCTCATATGGGAAAGTTATCGCGGTGCACCTTGACTATCTGACTACCTCATTAATGATGAAACAGCAGGGCATATACTTTGTGCCTGCCCCGCTGGGGACCGAATCAGGTTTTTAGAGTTAGGCAGAGCCGCACTTTTACCATCTGACCTGAAAGACCACTCACCATACAAACTAATCGGCTTTGATAAGAAGCTGGGTTTATTGGTCTAGTGTGAGTAGGTGTGAGTCACAATAAACCCTTGCGGGTTGTGGTGGAGGATCGAATAGACCCACTCACTTTGGACCTAATCTAACCTAACCTAACATAGTTAGTGACCGGCCGTTTTCAATGGCAAAGAACATGAAATTAAAAAAACCTTTTTTACGAAGTTGTAGAAGCAGGTAAAATGCACACAAAAATGGTCGATGTCGAAATTTGGAGTTGAATTAGACAGCCTTGAAACGTTTTCGTAAGAAACGCTGTCTGCGCCTACTTTTACTCATGCTTTCTTGTGAGTCCAACAATGCATTCGTGGTTCGGCCTAGCACCACTAATGAGACCTAGGGAGTGTCGAAACCGCGTTGTCAAGCGTTGGATCATGAATTATCAGTGTTTGAGCTCTTCATGGTTTGAACCATTGAAAAATATGAAAAGTGTCTACCTACTAAAAATGAGCTGATGTTGTGCTTGAAACTTATACAGTTCCTGAGAAATTTTGGAAGTTCAACCAAAATAAAAAATACCATCAAAAGTGTATGTCCTATTTATTGGTTTCTGGAATATGCAGATTCTTCAATTAACTTCATATGAGTTTTGAACTGGAAAAGATAAATTCATTTACAGTTCATGTTTTTTTATTACTGATGATAAGCTCTCGATTGAACACCACGAAATCCGAAACATGTGCTGGGCATAATGATTTTTTTTCTTGAACTCCAAGAAGTTGTGCGACGTGGTAAAATCTCACTGTAAATATAAAGTATTTTATTAAGTGATTCCTATTTTTGCATTTGAATAAAACAATGTGTGTGTGTGTGAGATATCATCGAAATATTTTATTCGTTTGAAAGACCTATTTATGTGGAATCTCCACTCCTATTCATTTATATTCTAGCGATTAAAATCGAAGAGTTTCCAATGATTTGGAAGTCAGCCATATGTGTATCCATTTACAAATCTGGGGACAAAAACGATATCACTAATTATAGGGGAATTCCCATTTCCATTTGAGCAAATCCTATACAACAAAATTTATTTTCATGCTCAAAATACTATTGATGAGTGGCAACATGGTTTTGTTAATGAAAAATCTATAAATACAAATCAATTTATTCCTATTCACCAATGATGTTTACAAAACTTTTGAGAATGGACAGCAACTTGATACGATTTATACAGATTTCTCGAAAGCTTTCGATAAAGTTGATCATGACTATTGCTTTCAAAACTCAAAAAATTTGGTATCAACCATGGGTTTATCAATAATTATCTTCAGAATCATAAATTTATAGTCAGATATGATGGTAATCAAACTTGGAACCTTTGCTGTTTGTTTTATTTATCAATGATCTAACATCAGGTTTACATTTTTCTAAAGGGCTCCTTTTTGCGGATGATTTCAAATGCTTTAAAGAAATTCAAACCGTCAGAGATTGTGTTGCACTACAAAAAGACATTGATAGAATATATAAAATTGGACCATTGAAAATACATTTTTCTTTAATATTGATTGCATTGCATTTAGTAACAAAATTTGAGATACTTTCCTTAACAGAAAAAACGAAGTGAAAAATCTTGGGATTATTCATGATGATATTTATTAAGGTTACTGAGATATCTATATTGTACATTGTTGGCCGGATTACACAAAAGTCAGATCAATGGATTTGAGGTAGCATTTCAAAATATCATCTGTTTATATTTGACGGGATGTAACACAAATAATGTTTTTATCCTCTTTGAGGATGATCACTTGGTGATCGAAACGCGTGTCGTGGTGTTAAAAATAACGATTTGGTGTTGGGAAAAAACTCCAGTAATATGAAAATATGCAATAATGAATAAAATTTCTATGTCAATTTGTGAAAAACTTGACAACACGCATATTTTTTCATACTATTCAGTATTAAACTTTTTATAAATTCGAAGTATAAGAATATTGAAGCTGTCAAAGTTTGGACGTCCCTGTTGGACGACTCTATATTAGATATTGGATAGAGAAAATAGATGTTGTCTAATTTCTACTGAGATTTTTATTTCCAACGACTGCTTTCGGTTTATTAAACCACTCTCAAAGTAAACTGACGCAGTTTGCTTAAGAAAAAAATCTTAAGATAAGATAAGATAAGATACATATTTCATCTTTTTAGATACATATGGTATACATAAGACAGGTCAATATAAAAAACATTAGAACTGAAAATCGAAGATAATTGTAGAAACATTTACAAATACAGTCACACTAATTTTAAAAGTAATATAAAATGAAAAACGTAAGTCACTTTTCTTTATGATATCTGAATCGATTCCATTATGAATGTTTGGAATACAAACTTAATAGATAAAAATATTTTTCGTATAATTCAGCATTCATATAAAAGTATTTGTTTCGAAAGTATTTTTCTTTCGTGTTATTCGATGTTTATGTGAAAATAACTGTTTCGAGAGGGCTTTTTTTCCAGTTCATATCTGAAAGTTACTTCTTTGCATGCCTACATCTTTGTATATAGTTAATTTTTGAAATTGATTGCTTCCTTCCTTCCTTTGGAAGATTCTCACATTTTTATTTATCAAGATGGAAAAATAGAAAGCCAAAAAAACCATTCTTTCCCAAAACTAGCACTTACGAGGACCAAAATTAGCTAGAAATGTGTTAAAGCAGTTTGCTTTAACTGCTTTAACTGCTCCTTCCAATACTATTTTAACAATAACTTGAGGCAAACAACAACAAATCCGAAAGTTATCCTGTCACGTCTTCGACTAGGGCATATTCGTCTCAGTAATAACCCTCCTACATGTGAAGTTTGTGACTGTGCCATAAAAGTGTCAAACATATTTTATCTAAGTGCGCATCTTACTACAACGAGAGAGTCGAGTACGACATCTCCCTTTCAATTGAAGCAGCGTTAGGACAAAATTGTAACTATGAAAAACTCATTGCCTTTCTAAGATGTATAAAGCTGCTGCACCGTATATGAAAATGTATTGTAAGAAATCAATATTTCTATGAAATTTGAATTGTCGCTAATAACCCTCGAGGTTGATGCGACATTAAATAAATGTAATCAACAAAAACCAACAAAGCCGGGATATGTTACATTAAATACTTACATTCATCAGCCGTTTAGAAGATTAGACCTCCGAGAGACCGGTTTTGGTATCATATCGTTACTGTCGAATAGGTTGGTACAGGTGAATTGAAAAGCAGTCTGTGATCTATCGAATGAAATTCTTTTCATTTAGTAATAATCAATTGATTTCCTACATTCATTCCTCATTAAGAATAATAGTTATTTATTATACAAGGGAAAAAAGTATTAGATTTTAGCTCGAGGTTGTTTTTGTCTCCTGACGCGAAGTGGAGGGAGACAATGTAGGTTTCCATCTCCAATTTGAATCCTATAGGTTTTTACATTCTATATCTTTTTTACCGTCCCGCTGCCCAGTACGAGCTGCTCCGTACTAGCAATTCTCAGAGATCATGGAAGTGCAATTCATGAAATTATGCGAAATCTATCGTATTCCAATTCGTGTCGTATAACATATCCGTATGAGACTTGGATATGCTACTTTTGAATTTCATACGAACTCGTAGGTATATAATATAGAATTTGTCGTAAGTACCAACTATGGACAGGCGAACATTTCGAAGAACGATGTCAAACAAGACAGACAATATTGACCTGAAAATCCGTTCTAAAACAAATCACCCATCCAAATATAAAAAATAAGTATTTTTGAAAAATTCGCAGATCTGCGATTTTATTTTTATAGAATAACGAGGGGGTTGAGGCTAACATTTGGATATCTGCGATTGATATCTATGAATGCCTCTAAATACAGAACGAGTGGGTCATTTAGATCTCTGCAACAGATATGTAGTTATGAACGTCTGAAAGTGACCGTAACATAAACTCAGAATGAAGATTCCGAATTCGTTCACACACGAACGATTCGCAGAAATTCAATCAGATATATACCTGTCATCTACTGATTGAAGAATTTAATAACAAGATATTATCGCTAAAAAAGTTCATTTATTGCGAAGATTGAAAAACTTTGGTTCAGTAGTACTTTCTCAACAATATTTCTGAGAGCAATTTCATTTTATGAAAGAATATCTTTCCCGATTTTTCTAAAGACTGATGAATAACAAAGCTTAAATTAATTATCGTTACTTTTGTAAACTCCATATTGATATGAATTGTTTATGGGCCCTACTTATGACCAAAAGTTGTTATATTTTATGTTGTTGGCATATCTTGGAAAATATTACCTGAAGCGATTAAAGGAATTTTTCTGACGAAAAGCAGAGGTTACAGAATTTCAGTGTTCTGTGAGGGAAAGCTCCGGTAGCTCAGGCCATAAGTAAGGATAATGTAGAGATGAATATTTTCAATGATATATTGATATATGACATTGACGTTTGATAGATGGAAGACACAAGTACAAAACAAAAGTTGAAGACGTTCTAGGTTTTTATTTTCATTCCATTTTCTTCATCTTCATTTGAAAGTAAAAAAATTATGAGGTCATTTAAAAAGTTTTTGAGGTGACACTTATTATGACTTCGATTTCTGTTGATCTTCCCATAAAAAGGGAACCTCAAGATTCAGATGCATTGGACCAAAATGTGATACCAGATGTTAATGTTAAAGAAGAAAATGACACAGATTTTACACTGGATAAACCTGATTTGGTGAATTTGGCGAGTACCTCGATAAACGATGATCCGGATACGTGGATGGAGGAAAACAATGTACCATCTGATGAGACCATCGATAAAGAATCAAGTTCTCCAGTACTTGAAGAGCCATCTCACAAAATCACTCTGGAGACGCTTAGGTACGAGTCGGAACCTGCTGACGAGTCCGATACTAGTTCCAGTGAAGACAGTGAATCGGATTTTAAGTGTAAAATTTGTAAAGAAGAATTCAATAGTGAACATTACCTTCAACAACACTACAAGCGCAGAAGGCTGGCTGAAAAGAGGTATAAATGTTGTGGTTGTGAAAAAGTATTTAGAGATAATACTCAGCTGAATGTTCACTCGAGGAAGCATACTGGAGAGCAACCTTATTCTTGCCAGACTTGTGGTAAGAAGTTTTCTGTCAACGGAAACTTGAGTAAGCATATGAGGATACATACCGGGGAGAGACGATTTGCTTGTGATACCTGTGATCGAAAATTTACTCAATATGCCCATTTGGAAGACCACATCAAGACTCACTCAGGTTTGTATAAATTTGGCTTATTTACTTATAAGGGAATTTCTACCCATAATAGCAATCATTGTACAAGATCTCTATGATTCTCAACTATGGCTGCAGATTTTCCTATGCTGATTCTTCTTACTTAGTGCATGTTGCTGATAATGTGCATTTGCAATAGGTATGCGTGTGTGTATATTTATCTGGTTATGAGGTGCACTCTTTTGTGGGATATCTGTTAACTAAACAAAAGTATAAGACAAAATATAGCGGACTTTTTTCAAGAAATTATGTAGAACATTTCAATTGAGGTTGTTTCTTGCTGTAACTAATCACATGAATCAATAGTTTGCACAATTCATTCATTATTAATTTAAAAGAATGATAGACAAAGATAGTAATGTTTTAATTATATGTGAATGAAATAAAACATGATAAAAATCCATGATAGCATAATCTAGTAACTGGAAAAATCCCCTTTGACACAAGAACAATATATGCAATAGCTTCTTTTTTTAGGAGAACGACCTTATGTTTGTGACTTCTGCAACAGTTCCTTCAAGACCAAAGCTAGGCTGAGAAAACACAAGAAGTCTCATGATGATCCAAAAGATGGCAAAAGATCAGTCCCTTGTCCCATTTGCATGCGGGTTATGAAGAGTACCAAACAGTTATTGACCCACTTAGAAACTCACGATGAGGGACCTCACAATCCGTTTGCTTGTGAAGATTGTGGAAAAAGCTACAAAAATCTGTTTTCGTTGAACATTCACTTGAAATCTCATGGCAACATTAGGGATTTCAAATGCAGTTTGTGCGATAAGGCTTTTGCTAACGCAAGTCATCTGAGGAGGCATTCAAATTCTCACACAGGTAAGGACATTTTTTGGCATTACTGAGATTTGTAATAATGATACCAAAGAAGCTACAGTGTTAGCGAAGACATGCCTGTCTTTTGTAAAGAGACGCCTGAAGACGCTGTTGTATAGTGAAACACATGTTCTGTTTTTGTAAAACTGTTTAGTGAGAATCTCACAATGAAGTGTTTCTTGAATATGTGGATTAAACCAAAGTAATCCAATTCAATATATTTCAACTTCAAATCAAATTTATTTATCACAGTAGTCAATGTAAATCAAAAAATAAAAAGCAAAAACCTTGAAATTCAACTTCCGACATTTATAAATCCAATCAATGCAAAAAAATTGAATTTTTCTAATTCATTAATGCCATTCTTTCAAAAATTTTGGATAGTCTCGCTAATCACAAAATAAATTACAGGAGTGCGACCATTTGCTTGCAACATTTGTCTCAGGGGATTCCCGTCCCAACAAAATCTCAAACGCCACATGATGACCCATACAGGAGAAAAACCGTTCGCATGCACAGATTGTGACAAGAGTTTCCTGACCTTGGAAAATCTCAATCGTCACAAGAGGACACATACGGGAGAGAAACCTTTTCCTTGTGACATTTGCGGAAGATTTTTTGCTCACAGGTAAGCAATTTTGAAATATTATTATAGTGACATGAAATGTTGAAATTATCAACTCTGAATTCCAGTAGGATGTGAAAGGAAGAAAAATATTTAATTTGTAGGTAACATGTTGAAGACTCGAGTTTTGAAAATGAAGATGAATTTCTTGTTTGATGTTTCTGAATGTTGATATTTGATATTCTGTTCATTAAATAATCATTTCCTCTTAGGAAAGTTTCCAGTAAACAACAGACACATCCTATGACATGGTTTAACCAGAATCTTATCACGATGAGAAACAAACTGACATCCAACTCCTCTGTACACTCAGGTTTGGGTTTTTGTTTACTTCATGGTCCCTCGAGTAGTAAGGGTCCTACATTATCAAGGTTGTCTACGATGATAGGATGCACTTTAACCTCCATGGGTGACCTCCACATATGTCAGTGACATATGTATGCTTAGTATATTTTGCGTTATTTCACTTGCAGGTTAACTGAGAGGTAATCGACAAAAAAGGCAAAGAGAGTTTTAGCCAAGAAGCAGTGAACAATGTCTTTCATCAAACTATAAATCATGTCATACATACCCTATTTTTTAATGAAGCCACTACCCACAAGCACAAACAGAGATTGTCAGTGCGCAAGAAATCCATTATTAGGATACCACTAATCCTATTTTCATCAGACAGGAATCTAATCTATCGACTTACAGAATAAGTAAAGCCTTCTGGACTCTACTGCTTACGTTTTGGCTGACTTTCAATCATTTCAAGAAAGTTATGGGACTTTCTGGAGATTCTCACTTTCCATAATCTAAAATTGTAATGAAGAATAGGTGTAGAAATGGCAAGCTTCTTGTTCGTCCCGGATAGTTACTGCTTGAATTGAATGTATTTTTCACCAAAAGAAAGCGTTAAATAATGCACAGATACTTATCTTTACGTTTTGGAGGCCAAAATCTGCCTTCGTCCTCAAAACTGAAAAAATTACCTATAGCTAGCAGTTTTCCTTCTTCGATTTCATTTAAATTCAAACTTCCACTCAAACTCAAATTATATTATACATAACTGGTGTCTTCTGAACAGACATCAATTAAATGACACTAGAACTAAAAACATCATACTCTCCTTGTACAAAATCGAAGTCGTCTCCTGTTCAGAGTCCGTGAAATTCATAGGAGTCTATAATGACACGACACTTTCGTGGCAGCATCACACAGATTACATCTGCTAAAAACTATCTTCTCACATCTGTTTACAATGCCACACTTCTCTCCGCTACCATGTATTTCGTGGGGACAAACCCCACATGCTGTAGAAGTCTTTAGCATGCAAAGAAAAGCTATTAGGGTCTTGGTGAAGTTGAAGTACATAGATGACTGCAAAAATGCCTACAAAGCTCTACAAATAGTTACAGTTCCTAGTGCTTACAATTTCCAGGACCTTATTCATATAAAAACCAACTTGCATGACGTACATAATCACCATGCCAGAGGATCCAAAAAATATACCTAAATTATCATGGGGTTACAAAAAGTTGTAATGGAATCAACTACTATGCTCCAAAATTTCTATATGCTCTACCCGATTCAACATATTTAAGGCTCTAGTAAAGCAACTGTAACTCAGGTGTGCCTCATGATTTTACTGAATTTTTAAATGCTATCTGTGAACTGTAATATCCAAACTAATATATACAGTGCATTTTTTTAACCCCCCTTTCCATTTAATTTTTTTTTCCAGATGACGCCCAGTCGCCATCTTGAAAGTTTCATCTGTCAATTTCACTTCAAAATAAAGTATTCATGCATTCATTTCAATATCCCAAATTTCAATTTTTCGAGTTGACCCGTTCAAAAAATAAAACTGGGGGGACATTAAAGAAATGCACTGTATATAATATATATTACCATTTGTTTCGTGTCTCTGCCTCTCTTTCTTGACTTGTATAAACATTTGAAATGTCATAACAGCAATGAATAATTATTAATAATTATCATCATATTACAAGGTGTCCTCTGATATTGGTTTGTTCCAGTTTTTGTCATTTTATGAAGTTAACCTAATAGAGAAAAACTAAGCATTTGAATTGGTAACCAAACATTTCCTTCTTTCAGCACCACCGCCAAAGAACACATGAGAGTACATACGGGGGACAAACCATTCCAGTGCGAGTTTTGCGACAAGAAATTCTCGCTGAATAAGGCCCGGTACAAGCACATTCGGGAAAAGCACCCGGCGTACTTCCCCGAATTCAAGAGATTGAACGATCTGCCGCCGAACATGAAGAGGGCGCGCGAAAAAATGAAAAAAGAATTCATCTTTCCAGACGATCCGGGACTCGGGCAGACGATCATGAATTATCCTGTCAATGGAAACGGAAACGTTGAGGGATATTCCAATAACATGGAAGCCGATGATGTTAAGGATGTCAAACCTTTTCTGGGCTCATCGATGAAATGTGATGATGTGAAAGACGTCAAAGTGGATGGTGTTTGTGATCGGGATGTTTTCAGTAGCAAAGTTGTGGGCCAGGTTGAGGTGAAAGAAGAACCTGAGGCGGTTGCTATCAAAAAGGAAATTGAGGACTTCGACTGTAGCTAATGATAGTGTTCTACTGGAAGGAGAGCTGGGACAATTTTTTTGTAAATTTTGTTTGTTGGGACTAGATGTTATTGTATTTAGAATTGGTATTGATGGTGATAAAAAAGAGTAATTATGTACTCGAAAGTAATTATTTTATGAAAGGTGATTTTTGTTCCAATAAACTCTACTTGTATTTGTTGGTTTTCTTATATATTTACCTTTTGCTCCTTCCACGAAAGAGTAAGATATATACTGGATAAATATGGATTTTTCCCAAATGGAATTTCGTCTCACTAAAAAGCTGTAATAGAGTTCTTGTTATTTTATTAAAAAAAAATTGTTTAACCTGGACTAGGATTGATTACATTTCCAGATTCAATTCTTAATCCAACACTGTTTCACTTCCGGAAATGTATTCAGCCTTTCCAAAGTAATTAGGAGTTATATATTCGTTTTGGGAATCTGCACACAAACGATAAATAAAATAATTTCAATTTGCCAGAAACATTACACTTACTTCAATATACACAATGGAGAATGTTCCTCCTGACGAAAATCAAGTAGTTTTCATAAAAGAGCTCTAAAACAACGCATTTTAAACTTATCATTTCACCATTTTTCGTTAAAAAATTATTCAAATACTTAAAAAAGAGAATGAAATAATGTATTCAACATTTAAAGGGATTCGTTTCTATTTGAAAATTTTGCAACATCGGTTATAGCTAATAAAGGACAATGAATCTGTTACCTGTATGAGACAAACAAAGATGACATGCGTGCTGTTTTGTTTACTTATGTTCCGAGACATTCTGTGACATGACATTTTGTGCACCTAACCTATCTTCCTCTATATGAATAAATAACAAAACAACTATTGTATATGTGGCTTGTGGAGATGGTATTGCCTTAATTGTTGATTTATAAAAATAATTTTCCTTTTTTAAAGTAGAATATCTAGGTACGTATCAATTATTGATATAGGCGCTGTTCCCAATATGTGAATTAGAAACAAATCCCTTTGAAAATTAAAACCCAACATTTGAAACATCAATTTGAATACTTTTCGAAATGAATTTGAAAAACTCATGAATTAAACTCAACTTTATTTTGTTCAAACTTGCATTTGCTGTAATAACCCAAATTGAGGAACATTCCCAATTTTTTTGTCCTGATCTCTTCCTGCAAATCCTTTACTTTCCCCCTCTTCATTGATTTTTGCCTCTCTGATATAAACTTTATTTTGGTTCTTTTTGTGGCGTTTATCAGTAATATTTTTAAAATCATGGTCTACTTCTGTTCGTGTCTGTGATGATATTTTTGCTGAGGGGAATCATCCTGTAAGTGTATTAGCTGATTCATTACATTTATTTGCTTGTTTTGGATTTACTCAAAGGTAGTCATTTGTTTGTTTTTTGTACCTGGGTCAGTTTTTGTTTCATGTGGTTTACCTGCCACTTCAATTGTTTTTGTGGGAATCTTCAATTGTTTACCATTTTTATGCTGAATTCCAAGATTTGCATTTTGAAATTTTGTTTCCAGTGCATCTATTTTATCTTTAAACATTTTAATGACACTTTCCTTATCATTAATTATTGTATTTTTATCAGCGATAATTTGTTTCAGAAGTTCATTAATAATTGGCACATATTCCATAATTGAAAATCGGAATTCTTTCAGAGTATTTCATTCCTCTTCCTAAGTTCCAAAATTGAAGGTCGACTCTTTCAGTTGTATTGCCAATTGCATATGCAGGAACTTTTCTGTGAAGATTCCTGCACTGACGCCTGTCGGGATATAATCCACCGCCCTTCGTGGTATTAGCCAGGGGTGTAGGTGTTTTCTGATAGGCGTCAGTCCATTCAACCTACTGTGTAAGTATATTCGAGACTGGCTTGAACGTTTAAAGTTCATTTCTTCAGATTTGTTTACTGCCAGTCTTCAAGCATAACCCACTGACTAATAAGAAACAAGAATCAGTTTTCAACTGATGAAAGGCCCTCCAGATCACCTGATATGACGCTTTTATATGTTTTTGGGGGGGTATACATGCAACTGAAGTGTACGATTACAGCCGCAGTTCAATTATTTTTATCATATTTATCGTTCGTTTGAAGATTCTCAAAACGAATATATAACTGGTTATTACTTTTGGAATGGTTCAACTGACTTCCGAAAGTAAAACAGTGTTGGGTCGATAATTAAATTACCTATTGAACGAGGTGTCACAAGACCCCCCCCAATCAATTTGAAAAATAACAAATTAGTAGCGCCCTCTCGGTGATGGGTGGTGTAACACTTCACTGTCTTGTCAAGAAGAAGTGAAAATTAAGACTTTTTACATAAATTTTGTCTGACCTTGATATCTTATTCCGTTCAAAAGTTAAGATGAGGGGACTATTTAAGACCACACTGTATAATCGCATGCACCCTGCAGTTAGAGAGGTGATAATTTCATCTCAGCATGGTTCCATCAGTCAAAAGTCTTCAGGAATCCAATCAAAACAGACAAGGCTACTTATGCAGAGTCGCACTAAGGAACGACCGATTGTGTGTAAGACATTTTTTTATAATTTTTTTTAGGTGGTTTTAGGATCACAAATTAATAGTTTCTTCAGCCGTATCAGTACTTGATATTTTCAAAATTTCAAACATACCACTGGCTACTCCGACACCATAACAATGAATTCGGCCAGCCGATTGCAGATAAATCTGATTGGCCAGCCTGAAGAGGCTTGTTCGTTTCACCTAATAGCAATATATGCAAATGTGAGTGGTGATCATGCCTTGATCAAGCATCTGTCATTGTTTGGGTTGCTTTTTTATTGGATGGATATAATTTAAAAAGTTAGGTAAGTCCAAAGTAATTATATCGATCATGATATACTGTCGAGAAAAAATAAGAGTACTAAGGAATGAGAGGGAGCACTGGAACTGATTCGATTCTATCTGTTCAACCGTTCAAGTATTCTCTTCAATCAATAAAAATAGGAGTTTCTCAGGGATCAATATTAGGCCCCCTTCTCTTTAAAATTCACATGAATGATTATATTTTCGCCTCAAATGTAGGAACGATTATATATGGTGATGACACACCGAGCTTTGGTATCACTATTGAAAATTAACATAAAATGCAAGCCAAAAAGATCAAATACCTTGAAATTGTATTAGATTGTCACTTTGAATAAGAACATTATGTGACATTTATCTCAAAAGTTACGTTATATTCTTTACAAAAAACAACCAAATTTCTCAATAACAAATATAAAATAATAGAATATTACAATTAAATAGCTAAAGTCAATGATATTAGAATAGAATAGTTTATTGGTGCTGTTTAACATAAAGTTTTACACAAGTNGGGGGTCGTAAAGCAATTACAATATACTAGCATATTTCTCTTCATGTTAGAGGAGATAAAACGGTCAGGGGTTACCAGACGTTGAAAAAACATTTGTAACAAATAAATATACAATGCCTTTCATCCTAATCAAGCATGAGGATGTTATAATCATGTAGTAACTACTCTTAGGTGTTATATAATAAAGTCCTTGTTTTATCCTTCATGGTAAACGCATGATATCCACATTCCACATGGGATATCACATGAAGTTATGAAATGAACCTAGGTATTATCTGACAGGTCCCGTGTTTTATCATCTTATATACTCAAGCTTGCAAAATTGTATCCCTAATGTATACCCAAAGTCTCACCATTATCATGGCGAAGGTTGCATTACATGTTGGAGAGGTCCTAGACAGTCAGAAAATGGTAACATTTCAGTTGACGTTGTCCTTTATTGATCCCAAATTGGTCATCGTGCTATCTGGGGTACCACCGAAAAATTCACTGTTCATTTATAAAATAAATTAGTCCCACCAAGCAAAGCGCATATGTTTATACCTAACATGAAATCACTATCTTTGAAATTTTCGATTATATTGCAGATGCTTTTACCAGCTATACTTTTATTATTTGTTCCTGGACTATAATCAAATTATGTAGGTAATTTTCCTGAACAATTTTCTAGAAAACTCATCAGTAGGCAATGACATAGTTATAGTTAAGTTATAGTCTTGCTGACATTGAAAAGTTACCAAACTAGAACAAAACTGCCTAAATAGGTACTGGTTAGAATTTTTTTGGGAATAATTTTATGAATAGGAAAGAAATATATACTCTATGTTGAATAACATATTCACAACAGAATAACAAGGTGACTGATGATTATATTTATTTGACCTTACCATTGAAAATTTACATCAAATGATCTCATAACTAATGGATATATGTTTCATACATTAACGATCTGGAAACTCGTTTGGAGCTTTTCAGTTTCTTTTAGAAAACATTCAAGTGGAGGAAAATACTGAATATTGTAATAACGAAATTGTCTAAAACCACATAATTATAAACAACTTTCACGGCAGATGATTACAAGTATAAGTTATTGTTATAAGGTGTCGATCGTCCAATGTCGTGGACAAAGACTGATCTTTGAAAAATACTACTAATTTTTTTTGACCAGTTACAATTTCATTTGTGTACTAATGAATACATTTTTTGTATTCCTATCGATATATTCGGATTGGTGAAAGTAACTCAGCAAATTTTAAATAATCAGGCTAAACAATTTGTTTAAATACATTTTCGGCAGTGATAAATTAACACATGAAACTCGTTCATGATTCGTGAAATCATTCCTGTAATAATTGTTTTCTATCATTATCTATCATCACCAGCTTTTCCATTAATAAGGCTCCCATTTTTACCTGTAGGGTTTGCTGTTGAAAAACATGACTATCGTCAAACTTAAACCAGTCCGTTTCGTCTTTGACGCCCTGCACTTCTCCTGCAACTCAAACTATGTGTACCTTTCTCATTAACTATACTAAAAAAAGTCATTTTACAAAAATAACTATTTTGGCATAGTGGATTTTGCAAAAAATACAAACTTTTTGCACGATCGTAGAAAAAACATACGTTCAAAATGCGAAGTCCACTTCATGGCGACAACGATAAGAAATTTGTTCCTAAACTATCAAACACACCAATTTCCCCGTCAATATCAAGTACCTATGTGTCATCAACGTCAATTAAACATAATTGTTTACAAATGTTATATTCCATTTTAACTCTGTAAAAACGTGAATGGTAGTCAATAAAATCATCATAGGTATACAAGCTCGCCACTGAAAACCGAGCGAGACGCAAAACAGGAAACCCAAACACGACTTTTGACGACGCCTGCAGTAAAAACCAGTGCCGCGCTTATATTCAGCAGGAATCTAATAGAAGCAAGAGCGTATGAAGCTAGGAGCGTTTGCGAAACATTGAATATTATTCGCTGTCAGAGTGACTTTTTGCAAGATGAAAGTGTTAGTTTTGTTAGCGTGTTTATTAGGCTGTATTTCGATCGGTGCAGCATTGCCAGGTGAGTGTCTATTTTCGAATTTAATTTTTTAACCGCAAAGGGATGAATAACCTGGGAAGGAACAGGTTAGGTTAAGATTCCAGGTACCTCGTGAAAGTTTTGATTTATAAGTATGTTGTTACGGAAGCTTCAGGAAATAATCTTTTACGTCAACACATATAATGAAGAATTAAATTTGATAGAGTAGATAATAGATTGAAACTTTAATCGGAATACCCTCAATACCCTCACATCATAAATAATACAAACACTTTCATAACATTGATATACACAATAAGGGCATCAGAAAAGATAAGTAAACTACTAACTAAACAGAAGGTCATCATAGTATACAAAACGACATCTTAGGTAGAAATATAAAAAATTATACAGAACTGTACTAATTTTCTACAGCATATATTTTTATTAAGTATATCCATAGGAGAAATATATTTTTAAAGTTCCGGAACAGATCGATTTTGATTCTCAAAAATATGTGTTTCTACTCATTTTTTTTTTCAACTCTATTTACCTTAGATTTATTCAACTGAACAAGATTTGAAAATAGAATAATGGCAGAAATGCGAGCGGTTACTATCACGTTGAAAAAGTCAGAATTGATTTTTTTGAATGAGCTGTTTCCTTATCAAAAAGTAGAAGAAGCATATTTATTTTTCATTTATTAATTCATTTCACGGGATCACCTGATTATTACGTCAAAGTAAAGTTTTATTTATTTGATTATTTTCAACTGATGAAACATAAAGAACTCACATTTCCTTCAAGTACCTACTGCAAAAGGCGACACTTTTTGATAATTACAATTTTACATAAAGCCAATTAGTGCCAACGACGTATTTGTGAAAAAAATTGATTTTTTATGTCATTAAAATTTTCGACATTCAAAAATGTTTTCATCCCAAAAAACACCATATAAATGAAAAAATAAACAGATGGTGGTATTGGGAATACAAAAACTACTTTAACAAAATACAACTCGATCTCCGTTTTCATTACTAAATTTTGAAGGTGTTGATCTGTAGGGCTGGAGATTGACAAATTTTAGGTAAAAAAAATAGATTATCAAAAATAAAAAGTAACTTGTCCAAAGATTTTTTGAAATATATTTCTGTTAGTGAGATGCGGTTTTCATTCATAGATTCTCACACAATTTATGTTTTAACTGCCTGGAAAAATTTTCTGACGGTACCTGCAACTTTTTTTGGGATAATACTCGTACCTTCGGACAAATTAAAACATTTAAAAAAAATACCATTTCAGTGACAGCAGTTTCATTATGATTTTCCATAAATCATCAGGCGAGCAGAAGACTTTATAGTGCAAAATTTTTATTGAATTATTATGTGCCATAAAGGTTAAGGTCTATATATTTTTATTGCTGTATCTATGTCGTCATATCGTTGTTCTAGCATTCGAAACGATCATACTACACACGAAAATGTAGACACGAATTGAAGAACGTGCATATATTCGACTTAATGGTAACTCTGCAACAAACGAAGGTCAAGCAGATCCCGAATTAATGACATTAAAGGCGTGCTGTTTCTCTATCTTGTTATATAAGGAAAGTCATCGCAGCTTTGATAATAGGCTTTCAGCTTCTTGCGTAGGTATGTAAACATCCTACTTTGAGATTACCCGTGATTTAATCATAAACTTAGTATGTCGTCAAAGGAAACTGTCACAGAAGTGGAATATTTCAGACTGAAGTAGAACATCTTACCTACTAAGTATGTGATGGACATTTTTATAATAATGTGACTGCAAATTTTATGACCTGGAACTACCATGAGTTGCACGATATTGATAACTTTCCCCCAATTCTCATTTCTTCATTGAGCTGAATTCCACGAACGAGTTCAGAATTCAAAATATTTGCGGCAACATGTTGATTAGAATTGTAAGTAACTCGCAGGGCCAGCTCTGTTTCAATAACTGAAACTTCTATACTAGAAGAATCAATATTGCGCTTAATATTATGATTAATGCCTTTTTCCGAAAGTCTAGTTTCATTCATTCTAGCTGATTAACGGAAAAACAGATTTTAAACAGATTTTAAACAGATCCTGTGTAAATTAAGTGTCGTTGCGATTTACAAACCTATCAAAAAACTTATGGCTATAAATAGTTTTTCAAACTACGGGGCCGTTTCTGTTTTGTGGGAGACGTAAAATGAATTAGTTGTTCGTTTTTTTGTGTCGAAAATTTTTCATGATGAAAAATGAGAATTCAAACTTCCTATGTTTCATACCACTTGAAAAAGTGATTGAATAATAGGTACTCCTAACGAAATTGCCCCATCACTATTTCATAATGAATTCGTAAACAAATTTCAGTATTGATTGGAATGAACTGAAGTGAGTTTAGAATACCCGTTTTTCCTAAAATTAGGATAGTCATCGTTTGTTTTGAAATCCTCAAAACTAACATAAAACTGCTAATTATTCAGGTACGGCTGATCAGATCCTCAAAAATAAAAATAATGTTGCATAGTGAATTAAAATACATATCAAACGAGTCATTATAAGATCCCCCTGTTGTTTTTCTTATTAAAAAGTACTGAAAAAATACATTTTTACGTAAATTTTGTCGATCTTGATGTTATTTTTTATTTATTATTACACCAATTAACTGAAGATGATCCTGATCGAATAACAGAATTCTGCGAAATCATTGCAAGGCAACATACCTATCTCCACAATATTTGTTTCAGTGACGAATGTATATTTTTTTAAACGGCAATGTTCACAGCCAAAATTCCCGGTTTCCGGGAAACACATACCCAATATCCAGAAAAAATTAATGTTTGGGCAGGAATATTGGGAAACCGTATTGTAGAACGTCTATTTATTGATCAAAATGTAACAGGGGAACTGTATTTGAATATGCTGGAGACTACTGTTGACCCTCTCATCACTGAAATCGTCGAAGCGAATCCTAGTGAATTCGATATGGATATTGTATTCCAACAAGATGGAGCACCACCACATTACTCCAGACAAGTAAGAAACTATTTGGATACTACTTTTCCCGGTCGTTGGATTGGCCATCGAGGTCCTAGAGAATGGCCAGCCCGCTCGCCAGATTTGACACCTTTGAACTTTTTTTATCAAATTTCAATTTTTTGAGTTGACTCGTTCAAAAAAAAAGGGGGGGGACATTAAAGAAAAGCACTGTACAACATAATGCAGTCGTATATATTCCTGACATTCTGGTATAGAGGTGGAAGGCAAATTATGTTAGTATGATAAAGGGGTACGTAAAAGGCGTTTTGGCTTTCTACTTCTTCATCATCATACCAAAATTGTCGGAAATTTTAGAAACAAAGAAGAAAATATTCAACTTCAATTGTAACGCTTTACAAAGATGCACAGAAATTTCTTCGAGTTACAAACTGGAAAAAATCCTAATGCAACACTTGAAATCGGCTTTGATAATCAAGAAAACTTTTGTATGAAAGCTTTTCGTTTATTTATGAGGATACCTGTCGTCGAAATTTGAATATCAGAGGGGAATCTAAAATTTGTTTCAGAGGGAATTTTATCAAAATAACCAGGAAATTTTAAAATCTTATGATTTTTTTCTTTTTTCAACAAAATTATGTCAAGTATTTGTTTTCCGTCAAGGTTATGCCTAAACAGAATGCTGAAACCGTATCTAACACATGCCTCTCTTTGTAAGCAGAAATGAATAATTTAAAATAATACATAATATTCAAGTAAACTTAGTCCAGAATATATGAATATGTCCTGTCTATGTATCACCGCGTGTATATTCATATCGTATTTTCATATGTGAATAGATGAAAAAATGAATAATTTAAAATAATTCATAATTTTCAAGTAACCTAGTCCAGGATTTTTGAATATATCCTAGGTATCACCTCATGTATATTCATATCGTATTTTCATATATGTGCATAGATGAATATTACTCCAAGATTAGATATCAGTCACAGACCTGAAAACTAACAAAAAATATTAAGTTAATAAAGTAACTTCAAGGACCATTTTACTAGTAGTCAAGTACCAGAATTTTTGAATATATCCTAGGTATCACCTCGTGTATATTCATATCGTATTTTCATATGTGCATAGATGAATATTTCTCCAAGATTAGATATCAGTCACAGACCTGAAAACTAACAAAAAATATTAAGTTAATAAAGTAACTTCAAGGACCATTTTACTAGTAGTCAAGTTATATGATAAATATGAACGAAAAAAAATTCTGTACTCACTGAAAAGTGAGTCAAATATAGGATCTTCCATCAGGGACTTCCGAACTTTGACAATTGATAACGGCCATTTTGTTAAAGCTACATCTGTCAAATTAGTTGTCATATATTCAGTCTGTTTTGCCAAATCACCATGGGTGGATATAGCATTCAACAACACTTGCACATAATGAATTGTTTTATCAAAATGGGTGTTCTGGTCGAACAATGTACCGGTCGCCATAATCGTCCTATCGACAGGATTTTTCACAATTAAGTGGATACATTTGAATCCACTAGTTCAGTAAACGATCGGTCAACACTCGTATGTCTACGAAACGCAAGATCTGCCGATAACATCGCCGCTGTCTGTGCAGGAGAATCCGAGACAGTCGATTTCGCGCCGCTCACAAAGGCTAGGCCTTCCGCAGACCACAACTTGGCGATCTTTGCATCGTGACTTGGGCCTGTACCCGTACAAAACTCAATTGGTCCAGGAACTGAAGATAAACGACCATAGACAACGACGTATGTTCGCTGAATGAGCTCTGGAGCAGTTGGCGACTGACATTGAAAAATCATCTTCAGCGATGAGTCCCATTTCTGGATGAATAGGTACGTGAACAAACAAAATTGTCGAATTTAGGACGATACCAATCTACATGAGAGACAAGAGTGCCCAATGTTGATCTCACACACCCTTTGTTTTATTTAAATTTATAAAAGAAAGCAGCGCTTAATGAAAGCCCCTGTATCTGTATCTGTAGAGTAGGGAGGGTGAGTG